AGATGAGGGTCTGCAAGGGTCACCCAAAGCTAGGCAGAGAGGTCTGGGTTGAGCTCTGTACACTTAACCCAATGGGAGTCGAACAGGCACAGGGAAGAACGGGCTGCTAGGATCCAGCCCTTTGGCTGGTTGCTGGTGTGGTACATGTGTGAGAAGGTCTATTCTATGAACCTAGTTCCAGGTACCAGGACATGGTCTGATCAGCATGGCTCTGTAGGGAGACAGATGCTGAAGGAATGTGACACTAAAGAAAAGTCTGCTAGCCTCCAAAGCTCAAGAAATTGCTCCTTCTTCACAGTGTACAACAGTATATATAGTATGCTAACTTTTGTGAGGACAGGGGAACATTTTTAAAATAGGACATCTGCTTATCTTTAAAAATGAGGAGGAATAAACCAAAAAGTAATGAAGTGGCATAAAGTGGGTTGCCTACAAGAAGGTGGGAAACCAGATAGAAGAGATACTTCTGCGGTAGAGTTTTTGTGTAATTTGAAAGTAAAATTCACATAGAATGAACCATAATAAAAATGTACAATTCAGTGGCATTTAATTTTCTACATTTTTTGGAGGTATTTTTGCTATAGGGTGTGTGCATTTGCTGGAGAGACAGAGATAGAGAGAGAGAAAGTAAGAAGTCATGCCCCAGAGGGGGTGGCCATGCAGCAATCCCTTCTCCATTCTCCTCTCAGGATTTTGGGCATGTACATGCATGCAGCATGATTTTCAAGCCTCCAAGTCTGGGACTTGAACGGTGGTTGGCCATGTGGCAGTCCAGTGCCTTAACCACTATGCCACCTGCTGGCCTCTATAGTCTACATATGAAAACAAACAAACAAAAAACAAGTGTGGGAATGAGGATACTAAAATTAACACCAAACTGAAAACAAAACAAATCTAATTGTATTTCAAATGAATAATCATACTGAAAAGGGGAAAATAAAAAGTAATTTGAAGGAGCAGCAGCTGTCAATGAGATTAACTGAGGCAGGAAGACTGCCCCAGACTTCTAACTGCCTTCTGCCCACCCAGAAATATTTTGAGACTTCATTTTATTTAGTTATTTATTTATTGACTTATTTGTTTGTTTTCACTATGGGATGCATGCACTTGCCAGACACACAGAGGGAATTAAAGTGAGAAATCACTTGGAAACCACCATGGTCAGCCACATGGGAATTCTGCACCTTAAACATTATGCCATCTGCTGGCCCCAATATTTTGAGACTTCATAGTTTTCTGAACCACAAAGTGTGCATGGTGTGCTGGATGACTGCTACTCCTTCTCCCAGATGAAACTCTCCAGCTCAGCCTCAGGTGCCCCTGGTCCCAAAGACTGGAAAAGGAATCAGCACCTAAAGGCAGCTATATACACATTTCTCTGATTGGAAGACAAGGCCCTGTACAAGAACACATCTGAGAGGTAGAGCTTTTCTTCCTCTGTGACACTATAGAATTGACACCAGAAAAATAAAAACAACTATATAACCCATCAAATGACTAGTAACCAACACAGAGGTACAAGTATGGGAAACCGAGGAAATACCTCTTCCTCAATGGAACAGAGCAACTTTCTTCAACCATAGATAGCTCAAAAGAATGTATAGGAATGTTAGAAATAGAGTCCAGAATACTAACAGAGGCAGAGTTGAGGAAGTCTTTCCAGGATTTGAAGGAGTAGACAGACACCACAGGGAAAAAAAATCAATCAGAACTCCTAGAGATGAAGACAGTAATACAAGAAATAAAGACCTCCCTCAAAAATATTGATAGTTGACTGGGCCACACAGAAGACAGTCTCTGAGCTGGAAGATAAAACCTTTGACTTAGATCAAACCACCAAAAATGCTGAAAAAATAGTTTTAAAAAATGGAGAACAACATATGGGAAATACTAGACACTATCAAGTGCCCAAATACTTGAACAATAGTTATTCCAGAAGGGGAAGAATTGGACAAGGGCATAGAATATCTATTCCATGAAATGATTGGAGGAAACTTCCCAAATCTAGAAAAACATTCAAACATCCAGAGCCAGGAAATACAGAGTCTAAAATAGAATCAACATAAGAGTATGCTCTCCATGGTACCACATAGCCAAAATGGTTTAAAAAAAAGAAAAAAGAAAGAAAAAGAAAAAGATAAGATCCTAAAAATGGCAAAAGATTAATGTCAAGTCACTTATAAATCACTTACCCAATTAGGTTAATATTAGTTCTCTCAACTGAAACAATGCAGGCAAGAAAAAAATAGGAAGACAAATTTAATATACTGAAGGAAAAACAATTTCAACCAAGAGTACTATATCCTCCAAGATTACCCTTCAAATGGGATGAACAAATTCATTCACAGAAACAAAAAATGAAAACATTTACCAATACTAGACCAGCTCTTCAAGAAGTATTGAAGAGAGTACTAGATCAGGAAAACTAAAAAGGGACAGACAAAAATAAAAGAACAAAAAACAACCCAGAAATTGGCTAACAAATTGGCAGAGACAAACCCACAAATATTAATAATAATGGACTAAATTCTCCAGTCAAAAGACACAGACTGACTGAATGGATAAAAACAGAAATCCTCTATTTGCTGCCTACAAGAAACGTACCTCATGGATAAAGAAATATATAGATTAAAAATGGAAAAAATATATTCCATGCAAATTGCAATTAAAAATGTCTTTAGCTGCAATATTGCTATCAGAAAAAATGACTTTAAGATAAAAACTATAAGGAGTCAAAGAAGGACATTATATAGTACTAAAAGAAGTGTTTATATCTTCACCAAGAAGATGTAACACTTATATGGATCAATGCACCCAATTCAGGAGCACTCAAATATGTGAAGGACAAGACTGTTAGATGTAAAGGGAGAGACAGGCTACAACGTTCTAATCAGGAATCTCAACATCTACAATCTCCTTTGGACAGATCATTCAGACAAAAAATGAACAGAGGTATGGGATTTACATGACACCATAAATAAAATGGACTTGACTGAAATCTATAGGACTTTCTACCTGAAAATCCACAAAATACACATTTTCCTTACACCCATATGGCATTTTTTCGAGGATTGACCACATGATAGGGCACAAAACAAGCCTTTGCACATTCAAAGACATAGAAACTATATCCAGAATCTCCTCTGATCATAATGGAATTGAACTTGAAATTAATTTCAGGCATATCCCTTGGAAATACACAAATATATGGAAATTAAACAACCTACTCCTGAATAACTTTGCAACCACTGAAGAAATTAAGACTGAAATAGAAAGATCCATTGAAACCAATGATAATGAGTGCATGAGTTTCCATAATCTATGGGACACAATGAAAGCAGTCATAAGAGGGAAGTTCACAGCCATTAATGCACATAAGAAAAAGAAAAGTGGCAAATAGACGACCTGATAACATACTTCAGGGAACTGGAAAAAGAACAACAAAATAACTGAAGAACACCAGGAGAAAAAAAATAATAAAGATTCGAGCAGAAATAAATGAAATAGAGAATAAATGAACTACAAAGCAAATAAATGACACCGGAAGCTGGTTCTTTGAGGAGATAACCAAAATTGATGCACTATTAGCTAGACTAATTAAGAAGAAAGGAACCAGATAAATCCAATTTGCAGCCAAACAAGCAATATTACAGTAGATATAACAGAAATATAAAAGATTATTAGCGAATATTATGAGTGACTACATACCAGCAAGCAAGAAAACCTGGATGAGATGGACAAATTTCTGGATGCATAAAGCTGAATCAGGAAGACACAGAAAGCCTAAATAAATCAATAACAAGTGATAAAATTGAATGAGTAATAAATAACCTCCCAATGAGGAAAAGTCCAGTTCCTGATGGTTTTACTCCTGAAGTCTACAAAACTTTTAAAGAGCTAATCCCATTCTACTCAAACTATTTCTACAGATCCTAAAGGAAGGAACTCTTCCAAGTTCATTCTATGAAGCCTCCTTCACTCTCATCAGCCAAACAGACAAGGATTTAACAGAAAAAGAAAACTACAGACCAATTTATTTGATGAATATAGCCACAAAAATTCTCAATAAAATATTAGCAAATCCTGTGCAATGGCACCTTCCAAAAATTATATACTATGACCAGGTAGGCTTTATTACAGGGGTGCAATGATAGTTTGGCATACACAAAAGCATAAATGTAATATATCATATCAAGAGAAAGAAAAATAAAAACCATATGACCATATCAATTGACACAGAAACAGTGTTTGATAAAATACAACATCCCTTCAGGATTAAGGCTCTCAGCAAAATTGGCATAAGACAGACATTTCTCAACACAATAAAAGTCATCTATGAAAAACCCATAGCTAAAATCATACAGAATGGGGAAAATCTGAAAGTTTTTCCACTGAAAACTGGAACAAGGCAAGGTTACCCACTTTCTCTACTCCTTTTCAATATAGTGCTGTAAGCCCCAGCTAATGCAATCAGACAAGAGACTAAAATAAAGAAGGATTCA